CCTGCTTGTTTCCTGTGAGATTTCCTTTGGTTCTGACCCGGCTTGTTTCTGACCCAACTCTGAGTACTCTCCTGCCCCCCCCCCCCCCCGGTTCCTGATTTCGGCTCTGTTCCTGACTCTGGCATTTCCTCCTGATCCTGTACCGTGCTGCCCGATTGTTATAACCCTGGCTATTCTACAACTCCATTCCAGCTCTGTGTCCTGGCTACATACCTGGCTCTGCTGTGCATCTGGCAATCCACTGTACCTGTCTGGTCTATCTCCACAGTACCCAAATCAGAGGATATCCTGCTTGTCAAGGTCATCATCTGCACGAGCCGCAAGCAAAACTGGCGCTCTTGTTCCCCTGGTCCTTAAACGCCCTCTGTTCCAACCTCAGCGGGCTCAGGATTAGTGACACAAGTGAGGCCGACCTCGTCAATTCAGTCTCCCATCAGGTATGTGACAGTACCAGTCAGCCAATGATGGAGTCTGAAAGGGAGGCCTCACAACTGGGGGACATTCGCCAAACTGTGACTTCCTTGTCCAACATCATACAGGACCTGCAGAGGAACTTCCAATACCTGGAGAGCAAACTGCGAACCGATCCTAATGTCCTCTCAGACACAGTAACCTGTGGTACAGCCACTCAAACCGAGATCAGCATGTTCCTTGAGACCTCTGTCCTACCGGAACCCCGGGTTCCTACGCCTGAGTTCTTTTCTGGAGATCGACGGCAGTTCAGGACTTTTCGTAACTCCTGTGAGTTATATTTTTTCTCTGCTCCCCAGGACCTTCTCCTCACCAATTACTAAAGTGAGGTTTGTCATCACCCTTCTGAGAAAGGAACCCCAGTCCTGGGCATACCATCTCTGTGAACAGCATGATCCGGCCCTAACCTCTGTGGATTCATTCTTTTCAGCAATGGCACAAGTTTATGCAGACCACTTCCAGCACCAAACTGCAGAGTCTATGATCAGCAAACTACAACAAGGCCAAAGGCCTGTGGAGGATTATGTCACTGACTTCCGTATCTGGAGTTCTGATACTCAGTGAAACGAGTCTGCTCTCTGTCATCAGTTCCGCCTTGGTCTTTCTGACACCCTGAAGAATGAACTGGCCCAAGTGGGGGTACCAACAAGACTGGAGAGTCTGATAGACCTAACGATCTATATCTATCATTGGATTCGGGAAAGGTTAAATGAAAGGACCAGTGGGAAACTTCTGTTATGCCCTGAGGTTGGGCCAGCTATGAATATGGTCCCGTCTGAGTTGCCCACCAAGCCAGCTAGAAGGAGCTTCTGGAGACCACAGTTATCCACAGTAGAACGTCTCCGTCAGCAGAAGTCCAATCTCTGCCTCTACTGTGGTGAAGCGGGACATTTCGTGGCTACCTGCCTGATCAAACCTCACAAAACTTCTCCCAACTGCTGCTACATGATGCACCCTCAGGGTACTGACCAAACGCACTTCTCCTTCCAGCTGCAATTACAACTGGCCGAAAGGACTATCACGGTCCCGGCTATCATTGACTCAGGTGCCTGTAGCTGCTTCATGGATTCTCGTTTTACTACACAGAATCATATTCCCCTTCGCACGAAAACACAGAGGCTTGCAGTTCATCTGGCAGACGGGTCTGGTATTAGTTCTGGTCTGGTAACACAAGAAACCTTGCCAATCTTTTGTTATTCTCAGTTGGGACACCAAGAATTCTTATGTATGGACATTATCACTTCCCCAATTTTTCCAATCATCCTCGGTATGCCTTGGCTAAAACCGCATAACCCAACCATCAATTGGTTGACTGGAGAGATCTCTTTTCCTTCTGAATATTGTCAGATTCACTGCACCCTCAAAGAGACAGGTGGGACAATCCCTCTCCTCAGCATTCATTCTGACCCTGAAACCATGAAGCTTGTCCCTACGGCTTACCACGAATACCTGGATGTGTTTAATAAGAAGAGTGCCAACACCCTTCCTCCACATAGGCCCTATGATTATCCAATTGAGCTCTTGCCCGGTATCAAGATTCCTTTTGGATTTACCCTCTGTCCGAAGTTGAATTAAAGGTCCTCCGGGGATATATAGATGAAAGCCTGGAAAAAGTGTTTATTCTGCCATCTACTTCACCAGCAGGAGCCGGCATATTCTTCATGGAGAAGAAGGATGGCATCTTGAGACCCTGTATAGACTATCGGGACCTGAACAAAATCACGGTCAAGAACAGTTATCCTCTTCCTCTAATCCCTGGGTTGTTCCAAAGATTGTGAGGAGCATGCTTTTTCTCAAAGTTGGATCTGAGGGGTGCTTACAATTTAGTGAGAATTCGAGAGGGAGACGAATGGAAGACAGGTTTCCGGACCAGATTTGGGCACTTTGAGTATCTGGTAATGCCCTTTGGTCTCAGCAACGCATCAGCAACCTTCCAACACCTGGTAAATGATGTTTTTCGGGACTACCTGGATATATTTCTAATCGTGTATCTGGACAATATCTTGTTTTTCTCATGTTCCATCGAAAGTCATCGTGACCATATAAAAAAAGACACTGGATAGACTACACCAACACCATCTCTATGCAAAAGCTGAAAAATGTGAGTTCGAGAAAAAGTGTATCCAATTCCTCGGGCTGGTGCTCACTCCTGAAGGCATCTCCATGGACCCTCAGAAGGTGTCCGCCATCTTGGAATGGCCCATACCTGAAGACAGGAAAGCTGTGCAGCGCTTTATAGGCTTCACAAACTTCTATAGGAAGTTTATCAAGGACTTCTCGGGAATCCTAGCGCCAGTGACACAGCTCACTAGGCAACATGTGCCCTTCAAGTGGACTCCTGAGGCCCAAGCAGCCTTTGAACAGCTAAAAACCATGTTCACAACTGCACCCATCCTGAAACATCCTGATCCTGCCCTAGTCTTCATCCTCAAAGTTGATGCTTCAGAAAATGCGGTAGGGGCCATCCTGTCACAAAGGCAGGGGCCCAAATCCCTTCTGCATTCTGTTGCCTTTAGAGATGAGCGAATCGAACTTGGCGAAGTGGAATTCATTTCGAATATTGGGAAATATTCGAGTCGCGACGAATCCGAAGATTAGCCAACTTCGGATGCGCGAATCAAAATTTTCCCAAAAATGGCGGCGACATGTGTGGCGACGGAGCGGGGATGTCTGGGAAGGCGCGCAGACAAGGCGCGCTGACCCATAATGCATTCATTCATGACATGTGATCGCATTAGCCAATCAGCAGCCAGCCAGCCAGCACTGTGTAATGGTGGAGCTATAAATTGCGGCCATCTTACAATTCTCCATTTGCCTGCGGTCATTCAAGAGAGACAGACCTCTCTGTATTAGGGACAGAGTTAGGGCCACAGATACTTTAGGGACACAGAATCGTTACTCAGGGACACAGAACTGTTACTCAGGGACACAGAACTGTTACTCAGGGACAGACACAGAATTGTTACTGAGGGACACAGAATTGTTACTGAGGGACACAGAATTGTTACTGAGGGACACAGAACTGTTACTCAGGGACACAGAACTGTTACTCAGGGACACAGAACTGTTACTCAGGGACAGACACAGAATTGTTACTGAGGGACACAGAATTGTTACTCAGGGACACAGAATTGTTACTCAGGGACACAGAACTGTTACTCAGGGACACAGAACTGTTACTCAGGGACACAGAACTGTTACTGAGGGACACAGAATTGTTACTGAGGGACACAGAATTGTTACTCAGGGACACAGAACTGTTACTCAGGGACACAGAACTGTTACTCAGGGACACAGAACTGTTACTCAGGGACAGACACAGAATTGTTACTGAGGGACACAGAATTGTTACTCAGGGACACAGAATTGTTACTGAGGGACACAGAATTGTTACTCAGGGACACAGAACTGTTACTCAGGGACACAGAACTGTTACTCAGGGACAGACACAGAATTGTTACTGAGGGACACAGAATTGTTACTGAGGGACACAGAATTGTTACTCAGGGACATAGAACTGTTACTCAGGGACACAGAACTGTTACTCAGGGACAGACACAGAATTGTTACTGTTGTTACTCAGGGACACAGAATTGTTACTCAGGGACAGACACAGAATTGTTACTGAGGGACACAGAATGTTACTCAGAATTGTTACTGGAGGGACACAGAATTGTTACTCAGGGACACAGGGTTACTCAGGGACACAGAATTGTTACTGAGGGACACAGAATTGTTACTGAGGGACACAGACACAGAATTGTTACTCAGGGACACAGAACTGTTACTCAGGGACACAGAAACTGTTACTCAGGGACACAGAATTGTTACTCAGGGACACAGAAATGTTACTCAGGGGACACACAGAATTGTTACTGAGGGACACAGAATTGTTACTCAGGGACACAGAATGTTACTTACAGAACTGTTACTCAGGGACACAGAACACTCAGGGACAGAACAGAATTGTTACTGAGGGACACAGAACTGTTACTCAGGGACAGACACAGAATTGTTACTGAGGGACACAGAACTGTTACTCAGGGACACAGAACTGTTACTCAGGGACACAGAACTGTTACTCAGGGACAGACACAGAATTGTTACTGAGGGACACAGAATTGTTACTGAGGGACACAGAACTGTTACTCAGGGACACAGAACTGTTACTCAGGGACACAGAATTGTTACTCAGGGACAGACACAGAATTGTTACTGAGGGACACAGAATTGTTACTGAGGGACACAGAATTGTTACTGAGGGACACAGAACTGTTACTCAGGGACACAGAACTGTTACTCAGGGACACAAAACTGTTACTCAGGGACACAGAACTGTTACTCAGGGACACAGAATTGTTACTCAGGGACAGACACAGAATTGTTACTGAGGGACACAGAATTGTTACTGAGGGACACAGAATTGTTACTGAGGGACACATAATTGTTACTCATGGACAGACACAGAATTGTTACTGAGGGACACAGAATTGTTACCGAGGGACACAGAATTGTTACTGAGGGACACAGAATTGTTACTCAGGGACACAGAATTGTTACTCAGGGGACACAGAATTGTTACTCAGGGACACAGAACTGTTACTCAGGGACACAGAATTGTTACTGAGGGACACAGAATTGTTACTGAGGGACACAGAATTGTTACTGAGGGACACAGAATTGTTACTCAGGGACACAGAACTGTTACTCAGGGACACAGAACTGTTACTCAGGTACACAGAACTGTTACTCAGGGACACAGAACTGTTACTCAGGGACAGACACAGAGTTGTTACTGAGGAACACAGAATTGTTACTGAGGGACACAGAATTGTTACTCAGGGACAGACACAGAATTGTTACTGAGGGACACAGAACTGTTACTCAGGAACACAGAACTGTTACTCAGGGACACATAATTGTTACTCAGGGACACAGAATTGTTACTCAGGGACAGACACAGAATTGTTACTGAGGGACACAGAATTGTTACTGAGGGACACAGAATTGTTACTGAAGTACACAGAATTGTTACTCAGGGACAGACACAGAATTGTTACTGAGGGACACAGAATTGTTACTGAGGGACACAGAATTGTTACTCAGGGACACAGAATTGTTACTCAGGGACACATAATTGTTACTCAGGGACACATAATTGTTACTCAGGGACATAGAACTGTTACTCAGGGACACAGAATTGTTACTCAGGGACACAGAACTGTTACTCAGGGACACAGAATTGTTACTCAGGGACAGACACAGAAATTGTTACTGAGGGACACAGAATTGTTACTCAGGGACACAGAATTGTTACTGAGGGACACAGAATTGTTACTCAGGGACACAGAACTGTTACTCAGGGACAGAGAACTGTTACTCAGGGACACAGAACTGTTACTCAGGGACACAGAATTGTTACTCAGGGACAGACACAGAATTGTTACTGAGGGACACAGAAATGTTACTGAGGGACACAGAATTGTTACTCAGGGACAGACACAGAATTGTTACTGAGGGACACATAATTGTTACTGAGGGACACAGAATTGTTACTCAGGGACAGACACAGAATTTTTACTGAGGGAAACAGAACTGTTACTGAGGGACACAGAACTGTTACTCAGGGACACAGAACTGTTACTCAGGGATACAGAATTGTTACTCAGGGACAGACACAGAATTGTTACTGAGGGACACAGAATTGTTACTGAGGGACACAGAATTGTTACTGAGGGACACAGAATTGTTACTCAGGGACAGACACAGAATTGTTACTGAGGGACACAGAATTGTTACTGAGGGACACAGAATTGTTACTGGAGGGACACAGAATTGTTACTCAGGGACACAAATTGTTACTCACGGACACAGAATTGTTACTGAGGGACACAGAATCGTTACGTTATTTTTTGGGTGCTTATAGAATTAAAGAGTATGTCAGACAACACGTAGAGGAGTGGCAGAGGAGGCAATGTTTTAGGAGCGAGCAGACGTGGCAGCAGAGGAAGGGGTCGAGGCAGCGCTAGTCGCAGCCAGAGGCCAGTGCTCCCGGTGTCATCCAGCGGTCGTGTCTCCACCGACAACCCTGCCGTCATCGATTGGTTGGCTCGGTCGTCTTCCTCTTCCCAGGTCACCTCTGACACCTACAGCCAACGGTCGGTGGGTACGTCAGACACAACCGTTAGTTGGCATGGCCCGGGAGCAAGCCCACTGAAATCACGTGTCCTCGACCTGCCCCTGTCCTTTGGTGTTCTCTCACCAAGTGAAGTATCGCATGCTGTGGGCTCAGCCCCACTGTACAGTAAGGAAGAGCTAACAGAGGGCGGTCAGGAACGGGGGAGACATCCGCCTCTTCAGCAGCCAGGCGAAGAAGTACTGGCGAGGAGAGTGGCTCGGTAGCCGGTCTAGAGACAGGTCTGTCTCCTGACCCAGACGCAGCCGAGGGGGCTAGTAGTGAGGCGGAGACCCTAATTGATGATGATGAGGCTGATCGCACTTGGCAGCCTCGTCGTTATCAGGCTATTGCTTCCGCATCATCAGGAGAAGAGGGTGCCAGCTTGGCAGCGAGCAAAACAGTCGGTGGGTTGCCCAGGAGGCAGCAGGGTCGCAGCAGTGTCAGTGGAGGCAAACGGCCACGGAGTAGAGCACCAGCTCCACTGCAGCCTACCACCATGGCCAGTAGTGGTGCCGGTGTGCACGGAGGAAGTAGCAGTCAGCCAGTGAGGAGTAGCGGGGGCAAAGTTTCCTACTCGGCGGTGTGGCAATTTTTCGTTCCTGACCGCCCGAGTAAGTAAACGTAGCCGTATGTCGACTATGTGGCCAGAAAGTCAAGCGTGGCCAGGGGGCCCATGTTGGGACTACAGCGTTGCGTCAGCATATGCAGCGTCGCCATTCGGTGGCCTGGGAAAACCGTGATAAAGATACGGCGGTTCTGCCTGCCCCAGCCCCCACTCCATCACCCGCTCCGTTACTTGCTCCGTCACTCGACGTCAATCGCCCTCTATCAGCCAGTCAAGGCTCCAACACCTCTGCTGAGGGGAGTTGTTGCTCGTTGGCATCTTCCGCTCGTTCAGATGCTCCTTCTCCTGCTACTCCTCTTCACGGATTCCGTCAGCAGTCTTTCTTGGAATCCGTTTCCAAGAGACAACAGTTTGCGAGCACGCACCCGACGGTGCAGAAGCTGAACGTCCTCCTGTCCAAGTTGCTGGTGCTGCAGTCCCTCCCTTTCCAAGTGGTGGACTCAGCACCTTTCCGAGAAATGATGGCTTGTGCCGCGCCGCGGTGGAGAGTGCCAAGCCGGCATTTCTTCGCCAAAAAGGCAGTGCCAGCCCTGCATTCACATGTAGAAGAGATGGTGGGCCAGTCTTTGAGCATGTCGGTCTCTGCCAAAGTGCACGGCAGTGCCGACGTGTGGAGCTGTAACTACGGTCAGGGACAGTACATGTCATTTACGGCCCACTGGGTGAACGTGGTGCCGGCACAGCCGCACCAGCAACTTGGACAGGTCACGGCGCTTTTGCCTCCACGTTTGCACGTCCTTGGTCCAGCAAACACGTCCGCCTCTACCACCTCTTCTTCCGCCGTGTCCTCAGCCACCACCCCCGTGCCAGATGGCTGTCTCCGCGCAAACTGAAAATCGGAACCATGTTGACCGACAACGGAAAGAACATGGTGTCTGCTCTGCGTCAAGGAAGGTTGTGCCATGCGCCATGCATGGCTCACGTGTTCAATCTGGTTGTCAAGCGGTTCCTAAAATCCACCATCCCACTGCAAGACATCCTTAAAATGTCACGTAAACTTTGCATGCATTTCAGCCATTCCTACACCGCAAAGCACACCCTCCTTGAGCTGCTGCGGCAGAACGGAATTCCACAGCATCGCCTGATCTGCGACGTTGCAACAAGGTGGAAATCAACCCTACATATGTTAGACCACCTTTACGAACAGCGAAAGGCCATCACCGATTTCCTGATGTTACAAGCGGATAAAGGTACTCCCCTGTGTAACTTAGATGTCAGCCATTGGCAGCTCATGCGTGACACCTGCCGCTTGCTCAGGCCCTTTGAGGAGGCCACGCTATTCGTGAGTCGGCAGGACTATGGGATGAACGACGTCATTCCTCTGTTGCCCGTCCTGGGACAAATGCTGTTAACAATGGCTGGTCAGGGTGCGGTAGACGTGGCGCACAGATCTCAACGCCACATGACCCCTGTGGGGGCAGGACAGGAAGAAGAGGAGGAGGTAGAGGAGGACATTGGTGCTCAGGAATTATTGAGTGAAATGGGTGGTTTTTCCACTCAGCGGACAGGAGTGGAGGAGCAGGAGCATCTGGTAGAGGAGGAGGAGGAGACAGAGGACCCAGACGCACCGTGGCAGTATGCTGTGGAGATGGAGGCAGGGAGTCTCTCGCATTCCTTGGCACAAATGGCCCATAGCATGCTCGGTTGCTTGCGTAGCGACAGCCGAATAATAACCATCAGACAGAGGGATGACTTTTGGCTGTCCACCTTGTTGGACCCTCGCTACCATTCAAAAATGGTGGCCTTTTTCACACCTGCTGAGAGGGAGGCCAAAATAACGTACTATAAAAACCACCTATGTAGTCAGTTGGTCTCTGCCTTTCTGCGCCAACGTCCATCCTCAGACACTGTGGGCCCTGTGCGCTCGCGTTCCGCTGCCATGGCAGCAGGGGAGGGGTGGGGTGGTAGGAGCAGTGGCAGCTCCACCAGCAGCGGCTGCCTCAGTCTGCAGTCGATGATGAGTAGCTTTCTTCACCAGCGCAGTGAGGAAACTACTAACCAGCCGCAGCAGCAGCAGCATCAGGTGGACCTGGAGCAGGACCTCAAACAACAGGCTTGGGCCTACTTGGACAGCACCCTGCCAACCGAGGTAGACAATCCCCTTGACTACTGGTCAACGAAACTTGACCTTTGGCCCCAACTAGCTGAATTTGCCCTTGAAAGGCTGTCATGCCCGGCCAGTAGCGTGGCATCGGAGCGCGTGTTTAGTGCGGCAGGAGGTATTGTAACTCCGCGGAGGACACGACTGTCCACCCAAAGTGTGGAGAGACTGACGTTTGTGAAAATGAATCAGGCGTGGATTAGTCTGGATTTCAAACCACCAGTTCCTGACACAACTGACTAAATCCGCCATGAATCATGCCCCAAACATGTGCCACTTTCAGGTCTCCTCACACTGCTGGTGGGTTCCATTTTGTCATAGGGTGCTGACAGATTACGGGCCTCCCATTGCTGCTGCCAGGCCCGTAATCTGCCATGAGCCCCCGTACCGCCTCCTCATGCTGCTGCCAGGTCCAGAGTGTGTCATGGGTCCCTGTACGGCCTCCCATTGCTGCTGCCAGGCCCGTAATCTGCCATGGGCCCCCGTACCGACTCCTCATGCTGCTGCCAGGCCCGTAATCTGTCATGGGCCCCTGTACCGCCTCCTCATGCTGCTGCCAGGTCCAGAGTGTGTCATGGGTCCCTGTACGGCCTCCCATTGCTGCTGTCTCCATCGCCACACTCTGCCATGTGCCACTTTCAGGTCTCCTCACACTGCTGCTGGGTTCCATTTTGTCATAGGGTGCTGTATGGCCTCCCATTGCTGCTGCCTCCACCGCCACACTGTGGCTCCACACTCTGGTTTTGGCCCCGTGACTGCCCAAATGAGTGAAGTGTGCGGTGATTCTAAGATCGACGGCACTCATCTGCATGTCATACTGACTGACAGCATTATTTCTCTTCCCCAGCAGACTCCAAGGGCATTTAAATTAAAGGTACAGTGTTCTGCACTAATATAAAGGCTCTCTGAAGCCTAGAAACACCCTTTTATAAGTTAAATTTGCAGCGAATATATTCGACTCAAATCAAATTTTTTCCACGAATTTGCCGAATCAGTCGAATCGAATTTTTGAATAATTCGCTCATCTCTAGTTGCCTTCTTCCCCCTGGAAATTGAACATTTCTGAAAGAAATTACAATGTGGGAGACAGGGAATTACTAGCCATCAAAGCAACATTGGAAGAATGGCGCTATTTACTAGAGGGAGCAGCCCATCCTATTCTCATCTTTACCGATCACAAAAATCTAGAGTACC